CGAAGGAGTTCTTGGTTGCTTGCCTTTGGTTTGGTGTTTTATCCGAGACTACTTTAATAGTCTTGAATTTAGTGGCAGTAGCCAGAAGATCTTCGGCCATCTTAAATCGTTCAGCTGTTATGTAGCTGTCGAACCTAAAGAGTATAGGACAAGGATGCTTTAGGTCTTTTTTGCTTAGGCGAATGCACTGACAAGGTGCATTCAAGAGATTTGCAGCCTTCAGCAATGAGTGCTGGACTGACTTTATGGGCTCGCTATCCGGTACATTATACACTATTGCGTTTTGTTTTGAAGCCAGCCTTTTAACAACTTCGCTGGATAGAAAGTCGATGGCGTTTTCTAACTCCTTCGCACTTTTTGAGTCAGTATGAGTCATTCTAGAGGTCATATTAAAAAGCTTTAGGATTGTAGGATCCTGCAGTTCCTTTTTCATACGTGAGATAGTTTCGGGTATACATTCTAGTGAACTTAATTTCGTTTTTAATTCATCTATCTGTAGCTGCATCTCTTTAATTACGCACGTTAAGTAAGAGAGCTCTACTTTTTCAGACAGAACATCTTCCACCTGTATTACAGGGGTCAGAGTTATGTTCGAGTCTTTTATGTTGGGTGAACTACTAATAATATGGGGTGGTAATGTGTTATTAGACGAGCTGGTGCTATTTTCTAAATTACTGGTGTTCACACGAACACGCTTTTTAGAATTTTGAACCATCGTTATTAAAGATCAATTATTAGTAACCAATAAGTGAATATAAGCGAAAACACGTGCAAAAGCGTCACCTGATTCGAACGTACCGGGCAATATGTCGGGCAATATTGTCTCATTCCAAGATTTTGGACTATTCCTTTTAATTCCGCTTCACCTTATTCTGTTACTGATGAATTGTGACCAATGAATTCCTGGTTGTGGCCCTACAGCCTCTCCATTTTCAAGACTTTCTCCACCCATATGATTCACCAGTGTTGGAATACAATTCGCCGTGAGGCGTATTCACTCACCAGGTAGAGCTTAGTTATTGTGAGTTCATCCGAATACGTCAGTGGGATTTCAATCAATAGTTGCAAGATTCTTTCTACAATGTACACCTAGACGGTCGTAGACTCACCCAAACTCTCTGCAATACCCACCAACTGGTGTTACATTTCAGTATTAACTAGTGCTAGCTTACGCCGTACTGGAAGTCATAGTACTGCTCCCTCAAACCACCTATTAGAGTTGGGTAAATCAACCGAAGGAAACTTAGACGTGACCAATCATAACAGGTGTACTTCAGTGAGAGTAGCAACTGACACTAATATACACAACGTGGTGATTTCACTTGGTACATGTGGGTCTGTGAGATTCAATGCAGCAGCGCGCCCAGCTCAACTTTGCGTGGATTTCTACACCACTATTTGGGCAATGTATCCTGGATTCACCTCACCAGGTCTCGTGTTGCCTAACTGCATCTAATGTAGAGAGTCTAGGTCCAAGATCGAACCAACTTCAAGCCGTTTTGTGCTATCGTCATGGGCTTTGTAATGCTAACATGGGACATATTCAAAGATAAACAATCGTGAAATATGTGAGCCCTGACACTTAACGTATCCTCATTCGCTCTTTCTAAAGCTAGATCAGTATTCTGACCTGCACATTTATGCAAAGTTCAGTACAGATGTGGTGAGAGCAGGCTGCTAGCCGATTGGTTGGCACTAATCTACGTTAAGGTCTAGGTCACTAATATGGGCCGTGAGAAAATATGAACAAGGCTGAGTCAACAACCAATCACAGCAAAGTTAACGTGGCAAAATGTGATTCGCAGGTAGAGAACTCTATTTGTCAAGGAATCCCGAAACAACCAATCAGAAGCCTGCGTTTGTCTACCTAACTTCTGATAAACAACCAATCAGATGACTGCGCTTGTCTATAATAATGTAGTTGAAATATGTATAAATACGTGTTGATTTTCATAATAAAACGATCTGTTGCCTGGCCCTTGTCTTCTGTTGTTACATTTGGTGTCGCTGCCTACCGACAAATGGAAAGCCTATGCCCTGCTGTTTTTGATGGAGACATATGGATCTTCGGGCAGGACTTCAAGGCTTCTGCGCAGTTGAGTGGCGTTCAAGATCTGTCAGCGATGGAGCTGCTACTTGAGACGCTGCTGGGAGGTCGGGCGAAAGCAGCATATGAAGGTGTGGGCCGAAGTATGGACGAATGTTCGACAGGGTCAGGCAAACAGTTTCCAAAGTGGGAAGGACCATATATGGTCACTTCGAGATGGGGTTACGCAGACACAGTCGCAATGGCGAACAATGAGAGGCGCGTGAACGTCAGCGAGCTCCAGAAATGGATACAGCGAGACAAGCCAACGATGACGCCTGCACCAAGTAGATCAAGCCGACTTCAGTCGCACGTATTTGACGGGGGACGAGTGTGGTGAGAGCAGGCTGCTAGCCGATTGGTTGGCACTAATCTACGTTAAGGTCTAGGTCACTAATATGGGCCGTGAGAAAATATGAACAAGGCTGAGTCAACAACCAATCACAGCAAAGTTAACGTGGCAAAATGTGATTCGCAGGTAGAGAACTCTATTTGTCAAGGAATCCCGAAACAACCAATCAGAAGCCTGCGTTTGTCTACCTAAAAACAACCAATCAGATGACTGCGCTTGTCTATAATAATGTAGTTGAAATATGTATAAATACGTGTTGATTTTCATAATAAAACGATCTGTTGCCTGGCCCTTGTCTTCTGTTGTTACATTTGGTGTCGCTGCCTACCGACAAATGGAAAGCCTATGCCCTGCTGTTTTTGATGGAGACATATGGATCTTCGGGCAGGACTTCAAGGCTTCTGCGCAGTTGAGTGGCGTTCAAGATCTGTCAGCGATGGAGCTGCTACTTGAGACGCTGCTGGGAGGTCGGGCGAAAGCAGCATATGAAGGTGTGGGCCGAAGTATGGACGAATGTTCGACAGGGTCAGGCAAACAGTTTCCAAAGTGGGAAGGACCATATATGGTCACTTCGAGATGGGGTTACGCAGACACAGTCGCAATGGCGAACAATGAGAGGCGCGTGAACGTCAGCGAGCTCCAGAAATGGATACAGCGAGACAAGCCAACGATGACGCCTGCACCAAGTAGATCAAGCCGACTTCAGTCGCACGTATTTGACGGGGGGACGAGTGTGGTGAGAGCAGGCTGCTAGCCGATTGGTTGGCACTAATCTACGTTAAGGTCTAGGTCACTAATATGGGCCGTGAGAAAATATGAACAAGGCTGAGTCAACAACCAATCACAGCAAAGTTAACGTGGCAAAATGTGATTCGCAGGTAGAGAACTCTATTTGTCAAGGAATCCCGAAACAACCAATCAGAAGCCTGCGTTTGTCTACCTAAAAACAACCAATCAGATGACTGCGCTTGTCTATAATAATGTAGTTGAAATATGTATAAATACGTGTTGATTTTCATAATAAAACGATCTGTTGCCTGGCCCTTGTCTTCTGTTGTTACACAGAAACTCAGGAAGTCAGGTGCAGTTTATAAGAGTCTGCATGCCAGCAGAGTCTTCCATTCATCGTTTTTCCCTAATTATTGTTGGGGTGGAGCCATCTGTCGGACTCCTAGGTCGAAGGAGGTGGTTATCTCAAGATAATACTCTTCGAGGTTTTATGTGAAGTTGGAAACATATATTCACAGACCTCCCTTTCGATGGTAGGTGAGGGTCAGATTGGGTTCATACGTCATCAAATCCTGTCTGCCTGAGGAGACAATATGCACTGTACATGTGAAATGGAGGTGTTTCAGCTCGAAAACATGGAGCACATTGTCTGATGATAAGGTCCGCACATTCACACTCAATTTATTAATATTGTGAGATCACTCCCACCGCATGGGAGTAGTGAGTGTCACTCACTTGAGTGAGACTGGAGTTCACATACTCCCGAACTGTACAAGGAATTTTATTTATTTTATTTTTTATTTTTTATTGCAGCTTGATTCCACACAGTATTTTCGGTACGAGTATGGAATTTTCAGCGTGGTTATCTGTAGCCCAAATTTCGCAGGCCGATCATAGACATCGAGAGTGAATCAGCGTGGGCTCGAACCTCAGACCATGCGCATAGTCAGCGAGAGTCCTAACCACTGTGCCACCGACGCACAATATCATCCATGGCTTCTTCATCTAGAACAGCAAGTGCACGCGTGAAGAAAACACCATGGCAGCACTTAGTAAGCTCGGCAGAATAGACATCAAGTGAGAGGGAAAATGGAATTACGGACATTCGGTTTCCTCAGCATGCTCCGCATAGTGCAAATATTTCACGCAGTTGTATTCAAGCAGTTCAGCGAGGATGAGATTTCCACACGATAAAATCATCAGTCCAATGTCGATAGAATTTCAAGTAGAAATTAGCGTACATCAGTGTTAATCTTGTTTTGTGGTTGTCAAATGTTTTAATACTGTGAAAACATGAAGCACCTTAACCATTAGCAAAGACTGTACTTCTGTTAATATTTGTAGATGTCAGAGTAAGACGATTCCCTGAAAATTCGTGTTCGTTTTCGCTCATTAACCTGCACTGAGTAATCGTTAAATATTGTCACTGTTGAAAGTCTCCTGCCGTTGTCTTCACTGTTACTCCAGTGAGTCCAGAAGGAGGGAATGTGATTTAGTTCGAGTGTAGAGACCAGTCGAAGATATACTTCTCCGAGCCGCTGTTCAGTAAGTCCAGTGATAAATTTCGGTGGCGCTTTTAATACTCCTCGACGGCTGCTATGGGGAAGTCACTACCTATGCAGTATTCATAATTTAGACTCAACGGATCTTAAGTTGGTTGAAGTTAGGGGTCCAGGACACTACAGAGTAGATCGTAGGGTGATAGTCTACCCAGTCACAAAACCTCATTAGACATCGTGGCTGTTCTAACATATTTAGTGGACGTATCCTTTTTCATGTTAATCTGCGATGCTGGTAATTTTACGGTGCATAAGTAGACGTTTACAAACTTACTTTATGGTACATTGGGCCTTAGTGATAATTTGTCAGATTTTTTAGTGACACGGAAGTATTTTAAAGCGTAGCTCTCTCTATATATTTGCTTTGTGTTGTCTAGTTTTCCGTCAGTAGACAAAAACGAAGTAATTTGTGTGGATGTCTGTCTCGGGCATCTACAAGCGAGGAAGTCAAATAACATATTGGCTTATTGATCACTGGATAGATTCTTTTTGAAGTCTATGAGGAATACTCAAAATAGTCGGCGGTTATGGAATCAGCACTAAGGTGCACAAGAATGTTAGAGCTGAGACGAGAATTTGATACCTATTTGCTTTCTGTTGCGCAATGTTATTCAAATGTGGAATAAATTTTCTAAAGTAAGAGATCCCTACGGTGCTTCTCAGATACCTGTTGCTCCAAATTTCATCAAGGTTAAATTAGGTGGCAACTAGAGACCGGACACTGGAAACTACCGCGATGTGTTTAGCCAGTCCTTTGTTTGGTGCATACTGAAGTCTACTGGTCAACTAGCACGAAAGCTAAGTCGGCCCAATAAAATCTTGATAAATTGAACGTGTCAAGTCCTAGTTAAATAAAGAATTTACGCCTTATTTTAGCATTTAGTGGCATATCATTATGACGAAGTAATAACCATGAGACTTAATTCATATTGGTACTACTTCGCCATTTTCAAAAGTGGCTACCGCGTGCTGCAGGAGCAGCTGTGTAGGAATCTAATGCAATTCAGAGGTAGGCATAAGAAGTGTATTTATCTCGTGTTCGTTTGTGTCCTTCGATTTCTGGGTATCGCAAATGTTTTTCCCGTGTCGTCCATGTTGTTCTCCATCATTAATTTCAATCTTGGAGATAACTAAGTATTTGGGAATGAAGGATAATGGTTCCCACTGCAACATTGACAACAGAATATTCAGTGAAGCCTGAAAACATCCAGCTTAGTCAAACTACTAGTTGCTTTGATATATATATATATATATATGTAAAGTATGTAGACAAAATGTTCGTTATTTGCGTTAAGGATATGGTAGTTGACGATATTTTACTCTCACCCAACAACTGTCTTTGAAATTTTCCCGGAAGAAGAGTCTAGCTTGGTATTTCTTTCTTGGTGTGTTTCTCACAGGACGTAGAAGGTTCATCCAGTGATAACAAATATGGGATGGACAACTAACTAATTCCTGTGGTCGGGTGGTTATTCCCTGTAGGAAATATCCTATTCCCTCCAGTGTAGAATAAACAATATTCGTATTTCTGGCTGTATTGACGCGGAAGTTTCTTTTCTAAATGTCACACTTAGTGAGGACAGATACCCAACACTATCTGTTGATGAAGGCAGGAGAGGTGGACATTATAGACTGGTTACTAGCTCAGTTCTAAAGGAAAACGCCTTAAGTTCAACGATGATCAGGCTTTAGATATGCTCGAAAAGGAGTTTCTATAAATCAGCCCTTAAGACACCTGTCAATCACGTCTCATAAACCGTTAATGCCCAGCTCTTGCTACGCTCGGGCCCACGCTGTTCCTTGAAGTTTCTCAGAAACGCTTAGTTATAACGGACGAAAAAACCAAAACACCGATTGGCCGCTTGAGATTTCTTTATTGTTACACCAACATATAAAAAGAATAAGTGAACTAAGGTCTGAAAACAAATATTACAATAATAAATCATTGTATAACTTCTGACGATGTTTCACTCTTCTTTCTGAACAGCGACCGATGAGACGATGACTGTCGTATTGATGCCTCCGCGAAAATTGGGGAAGTTGATTTTGAGTAAACAACCAAGAATTGATCGTTCAATCTTCAACTCCATTGACACTCCCCGGCAAAATACGGATCCAACGTTTTTTTCTTCACGACCAATACACGTTGACTTGGATGCCATTGCGAGAACCTGGGTCACACAGACAGAGCTGAAATGGAAAACAAACAGAAAAGCCAACACACCACAAGCATACCCACAGCACAATCTCACACATCGATGACGACCTGCGCCTCCAGATAGAGACCTCTTCTTGACATCTTGCAACACAATCGCCACTTGCTAGAATGACTCTTGCAGAATGCAACGTGACCATAGCACCAACTCATGATACTCCACGCACATCCTCTTATCTACTCACTACCAATTACCACTGCAATCGCTTGTCACTCATTCTGCCTCAGTTCTAGTAGCGGTGACGCACGCGAGCCTCAGTCGTTTACACTCTTGCTCCCCGGCGTGTGGGACCACAGCTAACAATTATCTCCGTGTGCATTTCATTCTCAGCAATAGCCTAGCCTCCCCGGCGTATACGCCCCATCTGCTGTCTGTAACATCAATCAATTCATTCACGGATGTGGAAGAGTGGACACAACTTCAGAAGTAATCTCGACGAAAATTTTAACAAAATTACGCAATAACAACAAGATACGAAAACAACGAGTAAACACAATGAATCCAAAAAACACCAACTGATATGACACACCACACATATATACAAACTGTACACACAAACTCGCGGATCATGTCTCGATGGAATTCCTTTGAAGAATCGCAGGACTTACACCAGTACGCCTACAACCCTTCACAGGTTGATGATCCAAGTGGAAGTCGTCCGGACACAAACAGAATTACCAACAGCTAGATGATAAATGATACCAGTTCAGTATATACAATATGAACATATGTACAAAATCACACACCGAGCACATTGGACTGCTCATTGATGCGCTACCCTTTGAAGAACTGTAGGACTTACAGCAGTACGCCTACAACCCTTCACAGGTTGACGATTGTAAGTTGTGGAATGTCCGGACACAAACAAGATTAGCCAACAATTACGATAACTGGAACTCACACAACTATTTAACACAAACATATGTACAATCACTACATCAAATGTTGTGGATTCCGGCATGAAAAACTACCCTTGAAGAACTGTAGGACTTACAGCAGTACGCCTACAACCCTTCTCAGGTTGACGCCCTAGGTTGGAAAATCGTCGCAGAGTTCATTTGCTGACCTCCTCCTATCAGCTGTATCTTCAAATCTGAACGGCAACTCGCTCATATCATTGTATCGTAGAATATAGATGACGAACAAACATACGTCGTATCTGGTCAACCAAGCGTAGAAACAGAGTAATTTACACCAAAGATAATAACATTCAAATAGTAACTTGAAACTAGAAATGCCTTTATTCATGCAAGTCAATTTAACAATTACTCTCTCGTTTACACTTGGCTTATTCTCACTAAACTGAGCAATATCTATCGTCTTTTCAAACGCACTAATACTATCATAGTCATTGCATAAGCCACGTGAGTTCATGGTTGTGCATTTCATTGTGGATAAAAACACCAACGATGACTGAGTGACACAATGTAATGAACTTAGCAGTGGATCAGAAGCTGTTCTTTTTCGGCTTTCAGATAGTTGTCTAACTGCAAGATTACCACCACTGCTGTCTTTCACTCCTAGTTCGGGTTTAGCACTAGCAGCTGATGATAGGTGGGCTACATGCTGATCAATCACACTGACGGTCTCACAAGCACGCATGCCTTCTGCAACTGCACCTGCATTTATTTCTACTTCCCGTTGTAGTTGTACAGAACCTTTATTTAACTTAGCGGTAGTAGGCATTCCCTCCATTTCATCATGATCAACCAAAGACAAATCTGCACTATCATGATCATTATCACAAATATTCAATTTACCGTCAAGTTCATCATTTTCAAACTCTTTATTAACAGAAGTAGACAATTTTGGTTCCTCCTCACAAATCATTAAAGGTTTTATATCTTCACTCTGACTAGTTATACTTTGTAAACTTTTGGAGTCAGAACTGGACTCTGAAGCAGCAACTCTATTCTGTGACACTCTATTCAACAATGGCTTACCAGTTGTAACTACAGACTTCCTGACCGCACCGTTATCGTCACACAATTTGGAGTCAGGCCTGGAGTTTACATTTAGCTTATCACTGAACTTGCTCACTGGTTCACAGTTCACCTTTGTATGCACCTCTTGAAAACGTGTAAAACACAACCGTGTTACTCTTGCAGCCTGCAACTTATCTGCTGAGGATGTACTACGAAACCTGTTACACTCACTAGGTCTATATGCATTACTGGACATCATGGAGCCTTCTCGATATCCACCTCTCTGAGACCCTTTCGTCATCAATGATTGCGTTTTCCTCTCAGACTGCTCTATTCTAGGGGTGAGATTCAATATACTGACAAACTTGCTCATAGATTGATTGACACTATCTTTTACTAGTTTCAGGATATCATCAAATTTTGGCTCGATACCCTCATCCTCCATACGGGAGCTTATCTTCACCCACTTCCTCTGCAGTCGAGTAGGTAGGCGTCTCGCAATTACCTCTAGGACTGAGCTGGAGTTGAGGTCACTCATGCAATTCATAGATATCAAGGTATTCATGTAAGTCATAAGATTATCTAAAAACTCAGTGTGTGCCTTGGAGTCATCCTGTAATTGACCACCATTACCCTTAACAGCCTCGAATAATTTCCCTGCAATCATCGAAGGTCTTCCAAACCTTTGACGTAATATGCTCATAGCATCGTAGTAGCCCTCTTTTGGCTTCATAAACTTACAACACTGTATAGCTCTTGCAGCATCTCCAGTGCAATATCTCATCAAATACACTAACTTCAATTCATCATTTAATAGAAAACTATTCAGCATGATCTCAAACTCCTTTACAAATTGTAAATAATCAGCTGGGTTTCCATCAAAACACCGTGGTTCTAATTTAGGGAGTTTGATGTTCTTATTATCCCTGAACGGCGAAACAGTAACATCAACCATATCATGCTTAACATCAGACACATCGTTACAGTTAACAGACAAGTCACCATGACTTACTTTCCTGTTTGCATCCAAGACACTCTGTCCCTTCTTTGACCCAGGCATTGTTGAACTTGACCCAATTCCAAAAACGTTCCAGATATTGCTTGTTCAAAGAGGACTTGACCGGCACCAGGAAAGATGAACGGTG